GAGTAACCTACATATCAGGTTGTGATAGTCTCAGTGCCCAGAGTAACCTACACATCAGGTTGTGATAGTCTCAGTACCCAGAGTAACCTACACATCAGGTTGTGATGGACTCAGTACCCCGAGTAACCTATATATCAGGTTGTGATAGTCTCAGTGCTCAGAGTAACCTATATATCAGGTTGTGAAAGTCTCAGTACCCAGAGTAACCTACATATCAGGTTGTGATAGTCTCAGTACCCAGAGTAAGCTACATATCAGGTTGTGATAGTCTCAGTGCCCAGAGTAACCTACACATCAGGTTGTGATAGTCTCAGTACCCAGAGTAACCTACACATCAGGTTGTGATAGTCTCAGTACCCCGAGTAACCTACATATCAGGTTGTGATAGTCTCAGTACCCCGGGTAACCTACATATCAGGTTGTGATAGTATCAGTGCCCAGAGTAACCTACATATCAGGTTGTGATAGTCTCAGTACCCAGAGTAACCTAAATGGGTAGCCTCATGGGCTGCTTCAACTTATTAGCATTATTATTAATGCAGGTTCTTTTGTCTTCAAACTTCTCCGGGACTTATTGAAAATGTTTGTTCACTTTTCATCAATAAATACAATACCCTTTTATAGTAAAAGTTGATATTTCCAGTACATGGTTCTTTAAATAGAATGCAAAATACTGTGGCAGGTTTTAGTTGTACATAGGATTAAGGTTACATTCTCGCTTCAAGCTCGAGGGAATTTCCCTTTAGCTCAGTGGTAGAGTGTCCGACTAGGAACCTGGAGAATAAGGGTCCGATCTCCGGTGGAAGCACACTATATTCTCTTTCCTGTTACAAAAGTATCAGAGTCACAAGCAGGAACTTATTTAAGGGTCAATTGAGCTAGGTTCTCTTAAAATTTTCTTCAAGCTAGCATCGATAAAGTAACAATTCTCAAAATGACATCCAAATAAATAGCATGCATGGCATGTTAATTAAGGAAGTTGTGATTACGTCATTATATTTCCAACCTAAACATTTCCATGTAACAACCATCACCAGTCAGCTAACAATGCTGATGTACAGTCAAATTGACATGGCACTGAAAAAGTACCGGCATTCGGGAAAATGCTTCTTTGCACTGCATACCAATTTATTGAGCCACTTTTCCGTTTTGGGTTCACTGATGTTAATAAACTGTTTTCTATATAATATGTACTGTCAGTAAGAATCTAATAGGGATTGTTCATTGATGTGTCAGACATTGGCGTCGAAATAATTGTGATGCATAACAGCAGCATATTGATCCTAAATGAAAAATTGCATAATGATCCTTAGGTTGTGAAACTAATATAAAACGTTCAAGTGATGTTAATGGTCTGACAGGTCCCTGTGTTAATTACGATTGAGTACACAGTCGTTACGGTTGTATGACCATGTGTGTACACATGTGACATTAACCGTACGGTAAACATACCGTTAACTTTCCATATATGGCCAGGTTATTCGGCGTCATTCACGTCAATAAAAAACCTTTCTGTGAATCAGACTGCCCATACACAATGCTCGGCTACATAAGTGACACACACACCGATACGAAAAATCGATAAAATAAGGCGCAACAGCGTCCCAACATCGGAATCTGCAGTCCCAACCTGTAGCGCACACGACCCAACTTTTAAAATAATTTCTCATCAAATTTCTTCAATTATTTTCAATATTTCTACCATATTTAAGTGCACAATATCACAGTCTTACCTAGATATATATCCCCGCAGCAGACAGCTCCGTGTTGTTTGTGCTACTGTCAGCCATGTGTAATCGCTCTCGGATAAGTCACGTGACTTTTGTGTTTATTCTTGGATACTCTTGGCAATGTGTATTGCAATGCAGATAAACCAAAAGAGAGCTCGAAGATGGCTTGTAACTCTTCACGAGTGAGATAAAAAAAAAAATACCATCTCAATCGCGGGAAATTCAAAAGAGCATATTTCTTCGTTTTCATAGTCTTAACGTCCTAAGAACATTAGGGAAGGTCATATTTTGTGAAGTTATAATTTTCAATTAAAATAATGATGTTAAAAAACCGAAAAAATAACTTAGATCCCTAAAATCGATGGGTTGAAACCTGCGCATAAGTTGGTTACTGTAGAGTTTCCAGTCACGTCTAACTAAACATAAGTGGTTAACTTTAACCGGTGTCTTTTGTCTGATGTCTTTTTAGAACTAATTTTGCTTGTAAACCCCTAGCTTCTTATTGGCATCAATATTTAGATAAAAAAAAACACTCTAAACACCGGTTAAAGTTAACCAGAGACGTATATATTACAATATATACGCCTCTGAGTTAACCAATCTTTGAGCAACCCACATATTAGTCCTTAGCTGTTACTACACTGTTCCCCCGCTAGAAGTCTCGTCCCAAGACTACGCTGCTACCATGTAACGTGGGGCTGTCACCCATCCTACTGACCACAGGGACCTGATAATTTGTTACAGCTATACTTCTTATTAAACCTAAACTAAGGTGTTCTGAGTAAGTTTACACGTTTAGGGGGTTTAGATCGATTTTCGGTAAAAATGTCACCCTCAATGATCATATGTACGAAATGATTAGGTCCAAATATAGCTGTAACAAATTATCAGGTCCCTATGCTACTGACCACGCTTGACGTTGCTGAACTAGTGAGCGGGTCCCTGGACCTGTTTTATACTTCTTTTATCGGATTGCATCAAAGCTCAAATGGAAATAGAAAATGTTCTGAATATCAGTTTATAGGCAAGTAGGATTTGATTCAAATGAGATGTTGCATAAATTGATATCTCTATACAATATTTTTTTTCACAACTGAAAGTAGATATATGTTTAAGATCATATAGAAAAATTTGATCAGTGTGAAAGTTGAAAGTTGGTCTTCGCAAATTCAGGTAAGAAACTTACCAGGGCATAGCTTCTTGTGTGCATGATTCATGGATCGTTTGATGGTCATTTTGTGTATACTGTTCAACTTACATCAAGTCCATCACCCTCATGTTTATATAATAAAACATAATTATAGTTTTGCAAGGAGAATTACATTTATTCTTTTTATACTTCTGCTTCAAGTCGGGGTATATAGAATTCTCTTAGTCTGTGCATGCAACCGTCCCTACTGACTGTGGTTTCTTGAACATATCTCTGTCACTGTTTCATAAATGGGCACTGACTTTGTATATAGGTACATTATGAGATGGTAGTGTGTCACATCCCATAACAAGGTCGCTGTGACCTCAATTTGACTTTTAACCAAGATAGAGTTGCATGACATTTATAATATTGTTATATTACAACCATTTGAATTGTTCTGTTCAGATATTAATACAAAGGAAATTAATTGTTATCAGTCATCACACTTAATACATAAAACAGTAGGCTATACTAATATGTATTTTAACAAGAATGTCACAGTATTTCATCCCTCGCCAGCCCCCACTTTGACCACCAACAGCAATAAGTTTGAGAATCATTTAACATTCATGATGACCTAACTTTATTGATGTTTACTTAATTTAAATCTTTCAAATTTAAATCAAATTAAAATTTTCCATCATATGCAAGATGAAATTGGTGTTAATAAAATAAAATCCTAGTCCTATGCATTTAATGTGTATATAAGGGTAATCTTCTATAACTGTCCATTCACAGAGACTCTTCCTTCACCACTTCCACTTGGTATGTCTCTAAATTGATGTCCTCTGCTATGTTGAACAATAGGAAGGGTGAGAAGACATACAATACTATCTGTGCCATTTACTGCAAACGCCATTCCATCTTGCCAATCTCTCTGATTGTGATGCCTTAAAATTCCAGCGGATACTGGTGTGTAGATAATCTATAATGGGAAATATATGTATTTTGATAAAGGTCAGCTTTTGCACTACAGTTGTCTACAGACCTAATTCAAAATTGAACAAAAAGAGTACAGAGTTGAATATTAATTCCCATCAAATCAAATTGAAATCCAGGTACAGGGTTCTCAGTTAATTGTTTAATATTATAAGAATGTAACTTAATATCTGCAATAAAAAAAAAACACAATAAAGCAACACACTGAACGATGAAGATAACAAGTATTGGAAGAGTAAACCATATTGATAGTTTTTCCTTTGACAGAAAAGTTTACCTCAAAAATAAATCTAGGCCTCCACTAATTTTATAACACAGGGTTCTATTCAATTGTTCAATGCACAGGAGCCTGAAGTTCTGTCAAAATTTAATAATAACAGTAATAGTAAAATATTTCGACCAATCAGAGCTAAGTATTGCCAAATTCATCAATGGGATTAATGCCAACTATTGCCCGCCAGGTGGCATCGTAGATTTTGTCAGCTAACGTAAGTGCAGGCAAATTCGTCACATTAGTAAGGGTTTCAGTTAATAATTTGTCCAAATACACATGTATCAAAATGCCATTGAGCACCAGTACAGAAGAAGATTTGACTGAAATGCCTATAAATAAACATTGTTGTAAACACGCCTGGTTGACGTCACGCAGCAACATTTGTGACGTCATCAGACCTTCCGTGGTTTTGCTCAAAGGTGCAGGCAGTTTCGCCACATACTGTACGTTTATGTTAAACAAGTCGTACTGATACTAACAGCTCCAAATGTGTGTGTGTAACAATGTTTAACATTGAAATAAAGGAATTTTCTTAGTTGTGATAGTTAATTTTCGGTTTCCCCAGGAGGTAAACGTGAGACCCTAGGGTCATAAACCTTAAGACCCTTCCATCTATGAAGAGTGTTTGATTCTACCATATCTGGGTCTTGAGAAGAAGATTTTTGAAATTTCAGTAAATTTGACCTTTTTGACCCCACCCATCAGCCCCGGGGGTCAGTCAGGGCTCATATGTACATACCATTAAACTGCTACCCAATACTGATAATGCTAACCTAAATTTAATTACTTCCAATGGAAATTAAACAAATGTTGGTCCAAAATGTGATTTCCCTATATAAACTATAATAAAGTTTACCCCCCTCCCCAGGGGGAAACATGATACCCAAGGGTCATGAAATTCACAAGTTTGGTAGAGCACCTTAAGACCCTTCCATCTATGAAGAGTGTTTGATTCTACCATATCTGGGTCTTGAGAAGAAGATTTTTGAAATTTCAGTCAATTCGACCCTTTTTGGCCCCACCCAAATAGCCCCGGGGGTCAGTCAGGGCTCATATGTGCATACCATCAAACTGCTACCCAATATTGATAATGCTAACTTAAATTGAATAACCTCCAATGGCAATTAAACAAATTTTGGTCCAAAATGTGATTTCCCTATATAAACTATAGTAAAGGTTACCCCCTCCCCAGGGGGAAACGTGAGACCCCAGGGTCAAGAAATTCACAATTTTAATAAAGCACCTTATAATAAAGACCCTCCATCTATGAAGAGTATTTGATTCTACCATATCTGGGTCTTGAGAAGATGATTTTTTTTGAAATTTTAGTCAATTTTACCCTTTTTGGCCCCGCCCCTCAGGCCCCTGGGGGCCGGGGACCAAACGGGCGACTAGTTTTGTTGACCTTTGGCCATGGAAGGTTTCTGCAAAATTTCATTGAAATTGGTTCAGGGGTTTTGGAGAAGAAGTCGAAAATGTAAATTGTTTACGGACGCACGACGGACGACGACGGACAAAAGGCGATCGCAATAGGTCACTTGAGACTTTGTCTCAGGGGACCTAAAAACTTCCAAAGCGGTGCCCAAAAATATTTGTCACATCTTATGTATTATGACGGGTGGCGAATTTGGGTGCATTGCGAATTTGCCTGCACTAACGTTAATATAAATTCTACCAAAAATGTACCAAACCCCAGTAGACGATAGAATCTACAACATAGAAAACTACGATCATGGGACAACATAGGAAAAGAGGTGTGATCATAAATGTAACCGCCACTATTGATTGTGACCCTCTACAGCAAACAGGACCCTTTGAAGAACAAGTATCCTGTATACTTAACCTAAAGGATAGGGACAAACTTGCTATCTATTGTATCTACAGAAGCCCAAACAGCTCGGCAGTAAATAACAACCACCTTCACCAAGTCTTAGAAAACCTATGTCACCAACCAGTCTCACACATACTAATCTTAGGGGACGTTAACTATAAAGAGATAAACTGGAACCAGCGTTAGTGAGTCACATCCAAAAACACTCTTTTTAGAGTGATTAGGGACAACTTCTTGTACCTTGTTCTTTAAGATTCACAATAATTTTACTCCTAACTATCTAAACACCCTACTCCCTCCTATTGTTGCTAATATTTCTCAGCTCTATCTTCGCAATGCACTATCTTAGCTATCAGGCACGATGTATCATTTACATCTTTTAAAAATTCTATCCGTAACACAGATTTATCCCAGGTACCTAAATTTTATTTCTATGGAGAAAGAAAAAATAACATCTTACATACAAGATTAAGAAATCAAGCTAGTACATTGAGAAATCACTTATTTAGATTTAATCTTGTCGCTGATCAAAATTGTCGCTGTGGCTATCCTAATGAAGACACCTATCATTTCCTTTTTAACTGCAATACTTATGCTGAACAAAGAATAACCCTCTTTCGTGAATTTAATGCATATATTCCTTACTCCTTTTTAGAGATACAAATTTATCTGAGCAGGAAATGAATCAATCTTCATGCATACTCAGCAATATATTCATGATACAACATATTTTAACCCACTCCGCTTCCTTCCCTTCTTTCTATCTCTCTCTGTTATAGTTAAAAATCAAATCAAGGCACCGGAGTGATGGACAATAGTAAAAGCAGAATGTTTAGGAAAGTGTATAGTGT